TCGTGTATTGTAAAGTTGTGTGAATTTTTCAATAAATTCTTTTGTCAAAACCACTTGCAATCTGATTCATAGCTGAGCGCCTTGCCGCCGGTTACACTTCACTTTCCAAGCATTACCTTAGTGTTCGCGGTAATGGCGGCGCAGTGAAGTGGGGTTCTTTCTTTCCTTGGTTCAGAGTGATTAACAAGCTTACTGCGTGCTTTATTTTGCACTAACAAAGTTACTAATTGTTCTTGCTCGTTCTCTACGGCAAGATGAAGGCAACACCTCCCACGTGCATCCAAAGCAGAAATATCAGCTCCGTATTCTAGTAAACGGCGCCCACATTCTAAACGTCCAGCGGCGACTGCACAAAGAAATGGTGTCATTTTGTTGACGTCTTGAATGTTGACTTGAGCGCCGTTTTCCCAGAGGTGTTTTATGACTTCTTCATTACCAAACGACGCAGCGCTGCAAAGATGAATAAAACATTTCAAGAGAAAATTACTTTAAAAAAAAAAAAAAACTTAGCAATGTGGGACTTTTTTAGGGGACATTTCCATGATGGCGTCTATTTGTGCCCTCAAACAGTCCCACAATTCACTGCAATGAAAACTCGACTCAATCTCGGAATGGCTAATAGGTGTATAAGTATTGGTAATATGACTACATGCTATCCAATTTGTATTGGAAATATTTGATTGAAAAAATCTGAGAGGGATTGGACTTGATCAATTGACTGGATCTTGGATAATTTGCAAGAAAAAAAATGACAGATTTTCAGCTTTTGAAAGGGTAAAGATGATCTTAATACATAGTAAAAACATGTCTAACCTCTAAAATTTGATTTATGTCTCTAGATTCCGAAATGTTAGAGATTTTTTATTTTTGGAAAATCAGGAACTGAGCATGGCTGGACTAGACTGGACGTCGGTTAAGTGATCGTCCGGATCGCAAACCTTTTTTTCTGCCGAATTAGCAATTTTTATGCTATAATTTTTATTCTTACATTAATAATCAGTAATTTCATGCCAAATTTTGCTGAAAACTAGACTAAATTATTTTCATGATTTGAATTTTTATATTGGATTTTGGATCGCAAACATCATTGTGTTACCAAGGTCTATATAGTGGTCTATATGGTGGAGACAATAGTATCTACTTCATACCATTCCACCAACTTACTAGTGCAAGGGAGTTTTCATCTCCTCATCCTGACAATTCACTTCTGCATGGGCACTTAAAAGCATCGCCACAGCCTCCCATTGGCCACACATGGCCGCTATATGTAGAGGGGTCTGGTTCAAGTTCGTACGAGCATTTGGATCGACGTTGTAGTTGATGGTCAGTTTAGCGATCTCAAGGTTGCCGCTCTTGATGGCCAAGTGAAGTGACGTGTTTCCTGAATCGTTTTTCGCACTGATGAAGCGAACGAACTCGCTGTCGATCTTTTGTGGTGCGAAAACGCTGACCGGTGATTTGATGTACCGCTGCACAGCTAGAACAAATCGCATAGAAACAATATATAGAGGTTATCAGTCGGCTAAGCATCTGTTGCTTAGCCGACAGATAAGTCGTTTATCATTTAATTCTGCAATGCTCAAACTCTCTCTAAACCCTATGGGACCCGATCGCGAGCAAATGAGCAGTGCTGATACGGTCTCATATCAGGCATGGTATTTTCCCGTATCACGCACGTTCTTTTGCAGGATTAAATGATAAAACAGCATATTAGCTGCAAAGCTTACACAACATGCTGCAAAAAGAGTCTCCTTTTACCTTCGGCTAAATGTTTTCCCATTTTAGACCACGTGCAATTCCCTAGGGTATCATCATTTAAAGGTTATATCATCATTTAGTTAAACGGTTGCGCATGAGGGAGAAGAGATATGAATGTATATACAACTCAAACAAACAATCCTTTTCTCAAGAGAATGACACGTGGTCTGAAATGGGAAAACATTACGCCCAAGTTAATAAGGTCTGTTGGTATTCCCCCTCGACACAACGCCTTCTTGTGTAGTAATTCGAGCATGCGCAGTAAGAATGTAAGGGACTGGGGCCAACAGTGTTTGGTGTCGGTCACCAAAGGACATCAAAACAGCTCTACTTTATTTTTACCTGCGTTAATAACAGCAGAAACAGCTTGTGCATTTCCTCCAATCACAGCAGTGTGCAAGACGGTGAAGTTCTCTAGTGCGCATGCTTCAATATCAGCCCCATGGTCTATCAGGGTCTGTTGCCATGAACACAAAAATAAACAAAAAGTAAAATAAAATAGGGTCTGTAACTATGTGCACAAGTGAAAAAAATACATGAAAGATAAAGAAGGAAAGAAAATAAACGAATCGTATTCATTAGTCTCTTTTCCTCATTTTCGTAGTTCCTGAAAACCGATGTATGTCTATTTGCATTGAAAGATTTCCAATATTCTGAGCATGCGCAGTCACTAACATCAATGCACCGATCACATACAACGTCAATCTCGTACGCAGGCCCTCCTACAAACTTTCAACATTTCGCAAGGCGTCATAACCTAATGACGTCGTTGGTGGAAGAGCCGCCATATTAAATTTCATTGATGTTGAGTGTTTTTCTGTGTTTGCAGGCGTGTTTCTGAACCTGATCCCTAACGGTTATAGAGGTAAATCTGATGCTACAGGTCCCTATTGTTTCACCACAAACCTGTACAACTTCATGATGGCCATAAGAACTGGCATAATGTAGTGGTGTGCACATGATACTTTCTCGGTATTCTACGTCTGTAATTTGCTTGGAAAGTAGAAGTTTGACAATTTCAGGATTGTTGAACCGTGAGGCAACGTGAAGTGGTGTGGCTCCTGTGGTAGTCTGAGCGTTAGGATTCGCTCCTCTTTCTAAAAGTATTTTAGCTGCCTCGAGAGAATTGAACCTTTGGGAAAATAAAATAAATAAAAGTATCGTAAACGAAACGAAAATTCAACTAATGAGATTGGTCCCCCTCTAATTGACTATGTTTATTAAGATCCTTTCTCTACGACCGACCGACCAATTGACCGACTGACAGACTGACAGACTGACAGACTGACAGACTGACAGACTGACAGACTGACAGATGGATTGACTTTCTTGACCAAGAGAAATGTAAACTACTGTGCAGTCTAATAAAATGTTTAAAGTGTTTATATTTAACAATTATTCGCAGAAGGCGAAGTGATTATCGGTGGAATATTTACCGAGCTGCGAGTCTGAGGGGAATAATTGTTTTAGTATAATTTTAGACTTGAATATCAGAGAAAAGTCGAAATTCAGGATAAAAAATGTTTTAATATTACTTCCGATCTGGAAAAACTTTGGAAAACCTCATAATCACCGCTCGAGCAGTGTTTATTGTCTCAGAATCAATGGACGCTTCTATATTCAAGTATAAAATCATACTAAATATCAATATTCAACTTACACATCTCTTTTGGATAAATTCTTTGGCATCCTTGACGTGACCAGCAATGTTGCGCACAAGGCGTCCACGCTCCTCATCATTCAAAACTTTGGTCCAGAATGTTGTCACCTTAAGAATAATATTTTGATATAAGTATGCCCTTTATTCATGTATTCATCAGCAGCAGCAGAAGCAGCAGCATGGCCATCACCATCACCATCAATATCATAATCACCATCATCATCATCAACAGCATCATCATCATTATCATCATTACCATCATCACTATAATCACCCTATCATCAAAATCACCATCATCATCACCATCATCACCATCATCATTATCATCAACACGATCGTCGTCATCACCATCATCGTCATCATCATCTCCACCATCATCACCATCATCAACACCATCATCACCATCATCATCAACACATCGTCCTCATCATTATCATCGTCATCGTTCCTTATCATTATCTCTTATTATCATCATCATATCCATAAATGTCATCCCCTTGACCACTTTTATTATTCGACACCATCATAATCATAATTAGCAGCAGCAGCACCAGCACCAGCACCACCACCAGCAGCACCAGCACCACCACCAGCAGCAGCACCAGCACCAGCACCACCAGCACCACCANTGACAGACTGACAGACTGACAGACTGACAGACTGACAGACTGACTGACTGACTGACTGACTGACTGACTGACTGACTGACTGACTGAATGACTGACTGAATGACTGACTGACTGACAGACTGACTGACTGACCGGCTGACTACTGACTGACTGACCGTATCCTATGACTGAATATAAAATCAGGCTTAGCAAGCATGTGGAATGCTGGTGTTCTTAAATTAAACCAATACTGAATCGAATATTGATTGTAATCTAGAGTTTAAAAACTTTGTTCTTTCTTAAGCTCAGAATTCTGCTAATTCTTTAATTCTGGTTACATAACGTCGATTGTGGTTGATTTAGTTATGACAAAACGCTAAATCCTCATGAAACAATATATTATTTTGTACAATAAGCTCTGATTATATACCAAGAATAAGCTTCATTCAATTGGGGCTTAAACGGTTTAAACTTAAAATTCCAAATTAGATTGATTTAATTTTTCACTCGGTCAGAATACTTCCCTAAAATATAATAACATTAGCAGCGCGCGTCGCGATTCCATGCAGCAATTACCTGCACATTTCTCAACGAAATTTTTGATTCCGTTCAAAAAAATTCTTGGATTCACACGTAGCCTTTTCGAATTGTTTTTGTCCGTATCCATTTGCGAAAAGATGCGTTTCAAGTAGCGTTTTCACCGGATACCTGCGGAAGCAAGCTAGTCCGCAAAGAAAAAATAGCCTTTCCAAAAATATCCGGAGAGGTGTGGACGGGGCTTCGATCAAAACGTGTAAAATAATTTGAAAAATGATTTACCAAGACAAACTAACTAGCAAGTCAGGAAGCGAGTTAGGAAGCGAGTTAGGAAGCGAGTTAGGAAGCGAGTTAGGAAGCGAATTAGGAAATCATACATTCTAGCCAAGATTTTCTTAAGGTGACTAGCTACTTTATCAAGAAATCATTACAAAATGTTCTTAGAAAGATATTTTATAGAGAGTTTAACGCTGATTTCAAAAATGAAAAGAAAAATTGGCTGTCCTGAGCTTGTTTTCAAGATAATGAATTTTGAATACGGCCATCTTGACAGGTTTTGAAAAGAAAATTGCCTGCAGAAATCAACCTTTTCACAAAACAATTCATAACTCACAAATTAAAAACTCAGAACATCTACTTTAAACACTATTTTCTAAGAACTAACTAAAAATATCTGAAAGTTTAAAAATAAGCTCAAATTCCAGCATGTTGTTAGCTAGATGAACCAAAATCGCAATCAAATGAGGACATTAAAACGCTTTTTTTTTCATTCTTTTTCCGACTTGCTTTGAATAGGGTATGAATTTTTTACTCTCTAGTGTCTTTTAAGAATAGGCACAGGTTTTTGTAACCTCTGGCGGCACATCTCTATCCAGAAC